GATTAAAAAACAAAATTCACTTGGGGACAACAGTCACTTGTTTGGCATTGTCTACCAAGAAAATTATTTTCAATTTTTTTGGTGATATGTTAACCAGATTGTCATTTATCCATGTATTTATCTACGGTGCTACAGACTGAATTCAGGGCTTAGAGTATGCTAGGCAGTTGTTCTACCACTGAGATACACACCAAGACTTTCCTACTGTTTATTTTTAGACAAGGTCTCTGTAAGTTGAGCCTGGGATCCCCTTGCCTCAGCCTCTCAAGTAGCTGGAATTTCAGGCATGTTCCACCATAACAGGCTCTGCACTGATTTTTCTGTACAAAGTTTGTATAGTTTCACAAGTAAAAAGAAATTACATACTACATATTACCATGTATACAAATACTTGGATCCATTTTCCCCGTCTCAATATAAACTGCACAACATAAATTAATGTTGGGATTCTGGATGGGAGGGAAGAAATGTCAAATCTGGTGGTGAGAGACTGTGAACCTTTGACTTCTGTGTTGTCAATTTCTCCACCAGATATTATTTCTTACATTATAGATTTCTTCTATTTTAAATTAATGCAGGAAAGGTTTAGGACTAAGTATAGAAAGATGAGTTATAGCAGTAGTGACAAATCTGTGGCACACGTGTAATTGTGTTTTTCTTTTAAAACAAAAGATCAATGTAAGGGTTGGCCAGACAGCTCAGCAAATTAAAGTGCCTGCTTAGGCAGATGCAGGTTTGATCCTTGGCCTGCTGTGCCAGCCCCGCCGCAGGGGCACGCTGAGACTACAACTGAGACTGGGCGTGGTGGTGTGTGCCTGTAATCCCAGTGCTTGGGAGCCTGAAAAACAAAAAGAATCACTACTAGTCCAATCTGTGTAGTGAGACCTGTATTAAACACATTTTAAAAAATCAAAGTAAAATAGTTTTTTTTTTTGAACAAAAACTCTAGTATTCAAGTATAACTGCAGTGTCAGCATTTTTTGATAAATAAATGGGTTTTGAGGTTCAGTTTGTCACTCAGTCTCTAAAATGTTTACCATCATTGGCTTATAGCTTTGTTATACTTCTTACTTTGTTCTTTTAATTTCTCCAGAGCTTTGCTAAGACATGAACATAACAGTGGAATTTTTGTTGTTTTATTCTATATCTCCTACCTATCATTTCTTCCTTTGAGGTTGGCATTCCCAGGCTTCCTTCCTTCATTCCCTTTTTGTCTTCTGTGTTGTCAATTTCTCCACCAGATATTATTTCTTACATTATAGATTTCTTCTATTTTAAACTAATTTTTATTGGCACATGTTTGCCACACATAATGATTCATTGACCATAGAGAATTTGTACCTGTCCATAACATATCTTAATCCTTTTTTCTCATTCCCCTCCCCTTATCCTTCCCCCTAGCATTTACAAATCTTTCTTTTCATTGTTTTCCTTCCATTCTTTTTTAAAAATCCCTATTCCCTTTCTTCCCTTTTCAGGCATCATCTCTTGTTTCCTAATTACTTCTTTTTTCACCTTCTTAAGCATCATGTTAGGCTCTGGGCGTCAGTAGATAAGACTTATGTATCAGTTACCTGTTATGTCCATTTACATGACACAAAACACCATTTTTAGTGAAACTAAAAGTAAACTAGGTTTCTAGAAAGCATACTCTTTCTCCTATGTTCTTCATTCTAGTAGGTAGCACTTAGCCAAGGAAACAAAAATAGTGCATCACCTCTCTTATCTTACTGGGTCATGCTTTTCTCTTCACATTTTTTTCAAATCTGTTCTTTTTTTTAAAAAAAATGTATTTGATACAGGGTCTCACTCAGACTCATGCAGCTCAGACTCATGGTGATCCTCCTGTTTTCAGCCAGGATTAATCCCAGCCCTGGGATTACAGATATGCGCCACCACACCTGGTCTCAGTGGCCAACTCAGTAAGCCAGGAGGCAGGGCCAGTGCAGCATGTGGTGCTAGGGATCAAACCTCAGTTCCTGTGCTTGCCTAAGCAGGCATTTTGTCTACTGAGCTATCTCACTGGCCCTTTAAAAATCTGTTATTCCATCCCTCAATATGGTTTCTAAAATCTAACGAAGTAATCTATTGAAAACATAAACAGATCACTTTTCCTTTTAAAAAAATTACTAACTCCTTAATCTATGGAAAAAAAATTAGTCAGTGATCTAGCCCTGTCTATCTCTCTCATTACATTTATTCAAGTAATGTGGGTCTAATGTAATTCCCAGAGTTAATTGTGCTATTTTCATGCCTTTGTACCTTGATTCATACTCTAAAATTCTATCCTTTTCTCATCTCTTTCTTGCCTGGCTAGTTACTGCTCATCTATTTAAGAATCCTTACTTCTAGGAAATCTTGCTGTGCCCTTGTCTCCTTTGATTTTCCATCACAGTCTTGGCTTAACTTTATCACAGCACTTACCTGTTTACCTATGGTTTGTAGTCACTAGAGAATGAGCTCGTTGAGGGCAGGGAACAAATAGCTGGCTTTGTCACAGGCAGTATTAGACAAAATACCTATAGAACTGAGCATTTAAAAAAAACCAGTTATATGTACTGTGAAGGGTGCTGATAAAATGGAAAATGTTGTCAAATACAAAAGTTCATTATAGGCTCCTGATAGTGTTGTAGGTAGAAGACAACTGATCCAATAATCTAAACTTTTAAACTTTTTTTTCTATCTGGCTCTCTTCATGATGAGGGAATAAGCTACAATAGTATACCCTGAGAATTCTAAATCAAGAGAATTTTCTGTTTCCCTTGGGAAACTGACATGGAAAGTTTTGGGCATGACTGATAATTTCTCAGATCATTTTAGAAATGATAAATTCTGTGTAGAGGTGTGTTCCCTAGTATATGCTAATAACAAAAAGAAAAATATACCTAAATGATTCCAGCCCCAAACAATCTCAATCTGTATCCATTTTCCGACATCAGCTGCTGATGGGTGATACACTGGAGTACTCTGAATATCCACATTCCTGCAAAGGTGGCAATAGGAAAAAGTTGGCTATATTTCTAATATCCATGAAATTTAATCTATCAAAGAACTTTAAAAAGATAGCAGGGTTTTAAACACATTTGAGGTGCCATTTTATTTTTACCCATGAATTTTCCCTAGAATTTATGGGTAGCAAGCATGTTAAATAATAATGAGGTAAATATATCTTCTTTGGTGTATATGTGGGTACTGATGATTGAACTCAGGGCCTTAGAAATGAGCTACACCCTTAGCCATTTTTTATGTTTCATTTTGAGAAAGGGTCTCACTAATCAGGTTGCCCAGGCTGGGGTTGAAATCTTTTTGCCATTGAGACAGAATGCTGGGATTACGGACATGCACCACCACACCTGGCATATACATTTCGGAGGGTACATGTTCACTTGTCAAATTATTTATAAGTAGGGCAAAAGAAATGTATAGTTTATGTGAGTTAAAACACTTCTCCATTGTATTTTTGCTCAATTGTTCAAAATGAATATTTTTTAGCTACTTATTAGAAGCTTAGTAGCTATTTTATAATTTTATTATAAGAATAATGGCCTATTTAGATATAGTTACAATTTATGACTGGCTAATAATGATGATGATTATCTAATAGTATATTTAAGTTATCTAGGCTAGCACTATGCAGGAAAATATTATAAAGATGTAAATGCTTTATATTTTTGTTTTCCAGTAAAGCATTCATATGTGACTATTATCATTGAGGAACTGAATTTATAATTGTATTTCTTTTTAATTAGTATAAATTTAAATAGTCACATGGGACTAGTGGCTATTATGTTGGACAGTGTAGATCCGGGCTGCAAGATATCATAGGAAAAGTTTATAAAAATATGTCAAATAAAGCACTTGAGTGAAATGAAAGTATTATCTACAGTCAGCTAATTCATATGATGTTTTTATGTCTTCCTATTAGGGAATTATAAATTTGTATGAAAAATATCTTCATGTCTTAAAAAGTTCAGTGAGTGCGATATATTTGAGAGAACTGAGCATCTTAAAAATATACTCTATATTGAAGCATATTGTATTTTTTTGCAATGTGACATTTTATTGTTTCTTGGTACTTAAAAAAATTTTAAGTGAAAAGCCACTGCCACCCTTATCTGCAGCACCCTACCAAAGGATTAAGAATGGAAAATGAGTAAATTGATTAAAGGCAATTTTATATCACCCGCAGAACTGATGGTTGTACCAGTCTGAATCTAAGCCTCTAAAAATGGCAGGAACATAATGTTTCAGGTTAAATAAAGACTAATTCACATTATTAATTTAAATAACACTCATTTAAGATTGATGAACATTTTCTTTCACTCATATTAAATTTTGGTGATGGTCAGGCGGGTGGAAAAGCATGTAGCTTCAAAAATTTCCTGACAGAAAGGCAACCTGTCTTCTCAAGTTTCTATTCCAGCTGGGGGAATTCAAGAAAACAGATTCCTAACTTCTAGCGTTATCTTCAGTTTGTGGAAGGAAAAAAAAAAAAAAAAAAAAAAAGAAGAAAAAAAGGACCAGAGGTTAAGGAACAAAAAGCAAACGATAAAAGGTTATTGTTACTTCCTTTCCTTTGCTTGATAGAAAAGAAAGATAAAGTTCGCGCATGAGTGCGTGCGTGCACGAACACAGGTACAAGCAGAAGCCTCGGGGTTTAAAGCTAGTCACCGCGGGGAGTGAAGCTGACTTGCTCCGTGTAGCCAATGTGAGACATAGTTTTTAATAAAAAGAGAAGTTGTACACGTTGCTTAGGTCACATAGTCTTATTTTAGATCTGCACCTGCCTGATTCTAAACCTTCTGTCTCTGGGTTTTGTTTTATCCTGGAGGTATTATTCAACACTACTAATGTCTCCTGCACTTCTACCTCTTCTCTCCTTGGGCAGCTGATTTTCCTTGGCTCTAATTTTTCCATCCACTTGCCCTCACTACTTCTCAAAACTCTTTTCCTTTTCTTTTAAAAATCACATTTTTTTCCCTATTGTACAAGTAGGAGTACTGCTCAGTTTGGCAGCAAATATATTGAAATTGGAATGGTACAGAAAAGACTGGCATGGCCGCTGTGCAAGGTGACACATGAGCAGAAGTAGCATCAAAATGTGACTGAAGTTTTAAAGTGTTCACTTATTTATGTCTTTGAGTCTCATTATTTACCTTCTGAGAATTTATTCTGAAGAAATTATTAGAGATGCATGTAAAAATGTGCATACAAGGAATGTAATCCAAGCATGATTAGTAGCACTGAAAAATTAGAATAATTTTAATGTCTAGAAGTAGGGATATTTTTTTTCAATAAATATTTATCATGATATATATATATAAATATGTTTCATTTGAAGTTTTTTTTAGATAAAAAGGTAAGTTAAAGAGTCAAGAAATTGTTTTTCCCCATTTTTTAGTTTGGAGAGACTATCATAAGAGAACGGAAAGCAAAAAGATTATGCTTCACCACCAAACACTAATTAATTATTATTCTTAATCAATATAACAATATTAATTTATTTGTAGCAAAGCTCTGTACTAGGTGACTAGTGTAAAAGAACAGTAAGTGTGTGAGTAGCCTATCATTCGAGTAGAAAAAGAGATATTTTTCTATTTGTAGTGGCCAAATAGCTCATCAGGGAGAAGGATTTCATTCAAGTTCTAAAAGTTGCTGAATATTTATGTCAGGGTGGTCAAAATGTTTGGTTTAAGATCCCTTCATAATGCTTCAATGATTGAAGTTATCAAAGAGTTTTTTAAAATGTGAATAATAGCCATCCCTATAAACAACATTAGGAAATATTAACTTGTTTAAGATAAAGTACATGTTAGCATGGGGCAAGAGATGTTGCTCAGTGGTAGAATGCCTGTCTGGCATGCATGTAGCCATGGAAAAACACAAAGAGGAGAGGAAAGAAGAGGGAAAGGGGGAAATTACATGTTAACATACATAATATATGAAAAAGCTATGTTTCTGCCACAAACATTTACTTAGGAAAGTGATACGGTTATATATTTTGTGGTTTAATATCTGATTTAACCAGGACAGTTATAATCTCTTATCTGTGCCTATTGATTGCAGCAAAACACAATAGCTTCTGGAAAACTGCATGGTACACTTATAAGAGAATAAGAATAAAGAAGTAAATAGGATTTTAATAGTATTGTGAACATGGTGTTGATGATGTAGGCACTCTGAGAACTATGTTTTTTAAAAAAATCTTTCACTTATTTATTTGGTACAGGGTCTTGCTACCCAGCCAGGACTTGTAGTGATACTCTTGTCTCAGCCTCCACAGCACTGGGATTACCGGCATGCACTATCATGCTGGATTTTGGTGGCTGCCCCCACATCTGGTACCTGGGATTGAACCTGGGTCCTTGTGCTTGCCAAGCAGACATTTAGACTGCCGAGCTATATCACCAGCCCCTGAGAACTACTTTTGAGAAGCACTGATACAAGCAAACTGAGGGCAAAATAGAGGTAGAGCGTTAGGTGAGGAGGGAAAATATATGAAAGAGAGTGAACAGGCAAATGTTATTTGTGAATGATTCATATGGGGGGAGTAGAAGACATATGGCAAGAATTTTTTTTTCAAAGTTTTATTGATAAACAGCAATGAGACAGTTTCAAATCAAATCGGAAGTACAGCTTCAACAAACAACACACTGCATATACTCTTCTTAGTGGTTAATTGCTGCACAAGATGCGGACGTGTGATCCTACCCACAAACACCATTAGAACAAATCATTCCATTCATTAAGAGAATGCACTATATATCCATCCCAACCTCCCTGAATACACAGATACAAAATGGACATTCATCAGCATACCATATGGCAAGAATTATAGGTTGATGGATCATATTATGCCAATTTAAAAAAATACTAGTATACTTATTATGACCTTCACTGACCTTCACTTGGGGCTTTGGAAAGCTTTAGAGCAGGAGTGAAAGAATAGAAGTTCATACTTGATTCCAGGCTTGGTTTGTAGCTGGTAATTTCTTATTGATGGATTGATGATCTTACTTAATGTATCTAGCATTTACTATGTTCTAATAAGCAAGGTAGTAATTAGTGAAACAAAGACGATAGCACAGTTTATAGCTTATAGAAGCTCTAGAGTGCATAGAAGAGCCAGATATTTAAGATGTAAATAATACATTTATTAATCTGCAACAACGTAGAGAAGTCTGATGTGTGTGTGTGTGTGTGTGTGTGTGTGTGTGTGTGTGAACAATGTGTGGGTTCAATAGTAAATCTTTAAATGAAGTCCCAGATGCCAGAAAGCCATGTTATTTCTCTGATCATGGTGAGAAAAATTGCACGTCTAAGAATAACAGATACTATACTTGAATTAATACAGTATGTCTCAGAGAAGGATTAGGTAATATTATAGAAGAGCTCATTGAATATGTGTTCTCTTTTGAAAGTAAAAATGTAGCTCTTCCCCAAAAGCCCTACAGCATGTTTCCATGGCTGGGCCTCAGATACTGTCCATACTTTCTTCACTTTAATGACTTTTTTCAGTCTTGTTTTCCTCTGTGACTCATTGAATAGGATGAAAAGGAGGAAGTGATTTAGATTATTACAACAGCCTTAAACTAACTACTAAAAACATTTTAACTATCCCAAATAATTAAAATTAAGTAAGTAAATAGAGAACCTATGTGCCAGCACCACCTGCAGGGGAAGAGGAAGTCTGCAACAAGATTCAACACCTTTGCCAGAGCATCAACATTCCTTTACTGATTATCTGCTAAGGAAAGAGCCTAAATTTAGCAGCTGAGAACACAAAAATTAATAAGAGACTGTGCACTCATACTCTGAAGGACACTTCATTAGGGCCTGGAGATGTTTTATATTGATTAGAATAGCTTGGAAGAAACTAATTTTACCTAGGAAGCTTCTTTAAAGCAAACTGGATTGTAAAGCGATCATTGCATTGTCTTTTTTGCATCTTCTACCAAAAGAAACTAAGAATTAAGATGATTTCATAGTTTTAACAAGTGAAATGATGAAGCTTGTTTTTGAGCCTTCTAGTCTGTTAAGGCTTTAATATGATGAGAAAAACTTGTATTGTACACTGTTTTTTATAGACCAACTAAGGATGTTCAGAATTTCCTAATTTAAATCTGTATGAAGAAACTGTCTTATAAATCATCTCTCCACCAATAGAAGAATCAGATGGAAGAATATGTATGTATTAGTATAAATTTGTAAGCTCATATTTGAAATAAGGTGGTAATTAGGGTAATATACTGTCAGATATAAAGCAATCTTAAGTAGCCTGTATTTCTCAAAGTGTAATGCTACTATCTGCAAAGAATTTCTTGCTCATTATAAATACAGACTGTTGGGTTCCACCACAAAGCTAATCAATTTCAAAATCTTACCAAGGAACCCAAGAATTTGAATTTTTAACAAGCTCTTTAAATAGGTATGTGCATTAAGGTTTAGGAGCCACTCACCGAGACTTCATTCATACGACAGGTGAGGAAATAATACGAAAAAGTCAAGTGATTTGACCAAAGTGGAAGAAACTAGACTCAGTCTCAAATATTGACTCCCAGGCCAGAAATATTTCAGCTGTAAGTAGTTTGCATTTTTGTTTTTTGGTAAATGCTGAATAGATCTCAATGAAAAGCAAATTTGTTCCTTGACAGTCCCCAAAGATTTAGTACTAATATTTTGCCATTAATGGGCTCTCAGTACTTACTAAGTAAGTAAACTGTTGCCTTCAAATTTATATGAACTATAGAAGTTTGTAGGCAAAGATATTTTGTTATTTTGTTACCATCCCACTCTTCACCCTAAGTCATACGAAGTCATTTATCAGTAAGAATATACATACACTTCTCAAATCACAGGATGCAATAATAAAAAGCAAATGGAAATTTCTGCTACTAGTGTTAAACAAGAATATCCCACCCTCTATAACAACATACCATATGGTATTTCCCTACCTTGTTCAGTATTTAACCTAACAATTTATTGCTAGGCGTCTTGGCAGCAAGCTGTGCAAGTTGAAGTGGAATCTGATTGAGGTGAGTTAATTAATGTGGTGGCAGCTTGGAATGTTGTCCAGCTGCCAGTGAGAATTATGTTTGTTTGTCTTTGGCCCAAGTGTGAAATGGCTGGCTGTTGATTTCAGAAGTGTGAGTGTACATTTTTATATCTCACACGAATGAATACATTTTTTGTATCCTACACATTTGGGGAAATGCTAAAATTTATTGGGTAATGTTATTTACCACTTGTGTGGCAGAAAAAGAAAGGTGGAATTTTGCCCCAGAGGTTGACTTTTGCATCTGTAGAAAAAGCAAAAGCAGGTGGCATATAAATCCATGAGCAGGTAAATAAGTCAATTTAAATTAGCTCATCCAGTCTAATGTTTTAAAGAATAACTTTTAAAAGAAGGTAAGCAAGATTTTGGAACCAGAGAAGAATAACTTTTACAATAATAAAAGGATTCTGAAAGTAAGAAGTATTATTTTAAATTTCTTTTGAAATGAATGGCTTTAAATTTACTGTTGACTTAATTTTACAATGCTTATTTTCTTTCTATCAAACACAACACCCTATTGAAGATATTATTCACTGTGCAATCTTCCTTTCTATCAATAACTGATGACAGTGATTCCTGTGATGTGCTTTTGAACTTCAGGTACTACATAATTCTTTCTTTCTTTCTTTCTTTCTTTCTTTCTTTCTTTCTTTCTTTCTTTTTTCTGTTTTATATTTTAAGGAAGTGTCTACAGGATGTTCAGGATCTCACTACTAGATTGGACTCATAGCCATCTGCCTGCCAAGATGCTGGGATTACAGCCTCCCAAGAGCTGGGATTACAGGCATGTGCCACCACACCCAGTCTCAATTGCCCTCTCAGGGCGTCCCAGGGGTGCGGCCAGCAGAGCAGGCCTAGGGATCGAACCCCAGGACCCTGCACCTGCTTGCAGGCACTTTAATCCACTGAGCTATTTGGCCAGCCCCAGGTACTTTATAATTCTGACTGGTTGTTACTGATATATGCAGGGAGTCCTCCAATTTAAGCATTCAATAACTGATCCTAAATCAAGAGAGTCCAAAGTACATTTGAAGGATGTCAGATATTAGTG